GTCGGTGATCCGGTTAGAGTTTTCCTGCTTGGAGGGCAAGGCGGCAAGTCGGATGAGGTCGTCGACGTTATAAGGATCAACGTGCTCGTGCCAACCAGTGTACATCAGCCACGGGCTGACATTCCGGAAATCCACCTCGTTGGAACGGTGCTCCTCAGCGAGGCGGTCCCGTTCAGCGCGCTGCTCCGAGAACATCTTTTCCAGCGGGGTGAGGTCAACACCAGAGGAGTCGTCCGAATCGGATGGTTCCGTAACCTCGAAAAGCCGATTCTTGGTTCCGTTGCTGAGCCGTTGCGCCTTGATGCGGGGGAGGGAAGTCGGAACGGGAAGCCCAGGGTGCTGTCGGGAGCAGTGCGAGGCGAGGCTGGACGCGAGGTAGACGTGGCGGCAGTGAGGGCAGCGGACACAGTCGGAGACAACAGGCAAACCCTTGAGGGAGGGAATGGGCTCCAAGGAGAGCCAAAGCTCAGGAAGCTCTTTGGCCAATTTGTATTCCTTTCCAAGGGAAAAGAACTGGTTAGGCTTGGGATGAATACCAAGCCCCTTGTGTTTTTGGGACCAGTGGTCGGGAAGCCAGGTGTAAGGCAGCATAACCTTGCACTTGAGGCAGTACAAGAGCCGAGTGCGGGACTCGACAACACAGCCGATAGTTCTGATAGCGGGAAAGTCGATAAAGTGGGACGCCTATAAACCAGTCAATAAACAGTGGTCTAGGGACCTGCAGCTAAGAGAAACAACCTCGTGTGGATCCTGAGGCTCATCAACACTCATCACATCTTCCTCCTCGCTTTCTTCGCTAGATGCCTTGAAATTAATAGAAAATTGAGCCTAGACCCTCATAATCAGGAAAATAAAGGACGGGCTCACTGTTGGAAAGCTGGCTTGGGGAGACGGCTGTCGAAACGGTCGGTTTCAATCAAATTTGAGGATTAGAAACCAACTCACCAGACGATCTTCATCCCCAGAGGCTGGACGTTGAACTTCGTCCTCTGGATCCTCGCCCCCGTCATGAGTGGTGGCCCTGACCGCTCCGCCAGGGTTGGGCTGCGGGACGGTCTGCAAGATCTTCGGAGGTCAGGTTTCGAATGCACTCGGAAATTGGAAACCACCGCACCAGACCCGGGGGCTTGTCAAGCCAGTCGAATTCACTTTTAGAGGCATGATTCCGAATGCCCTGAGTGGTGGCAAACGACCGTGCACATTTTGGGGCAGCACACTGGCAGTAGAAAAATCCGTCTGGACGGCGAACAACCTGAAAGATCCCGTTCGGAAACCGGACGGTGACTTTGGGGTCGCAGGAACGGCGGTGAACCCGGAGGTGTTCGTAGCTCGGGAAGACAGTGGAGCAGTGGTTGCAAGTCGACATGTTTTTCGGGCGGTTATAGGCAAGAAAGGCAAGTAAATATCCAAAAAAGGAAGGTGGTGGTTAAGGTGAAACCTTGATTTCAAACTCAGCTGGCCGATCGATCATCATATTGATCGATCTGATCATCAAAATACAAACAATACCAAACAATACTTCCCCTACGTGCACCATGGTGTGTGGTCTTCAGGCCACTGTGAGTGTGGATTCAGGTATCAAGGATATCTAGCCCCCTATACGATGTGAGCAACGTGTCGTCAAAGTGCACGGTAGTCAAGAGAGGTTGTCGTATACAACGTTCAATTTACTTCGTATTCAAGGAGTCGGGCGAAAGATAGCCGTCGGCCATGGCCCAACACAAAGGCTATATATATAATATTTTCGAGGGAACGAATAGGGCGGAAATAACGCCGTAGTGGGGTGCTCATCAAATCCCTACCAGCATAGGCTGGGCAGTTGTTTCCAGCCAAAACACCTCTAGCCAAGCCCTTCCCTTATACCTATACATAGCCATCATTGGTCTGTAGCCCGAGACAGAGTGGCAGACCCACTGACTGTATTGCGGTTATCCACATACCTCCTGGTTTCCAAACCAGATTCCAAGTTGAAACCGAGGGACATGGGACTGCGAAAAGGAATAGACCTTTTGTGTCACAGGTCGTACATGTATAGCTGCAACAAGAGGAAAGTCTACGGTAGAATTAACTAAGCGGACTCATCCCCTCCGCGCTCCAAGTGGTCTTCCGGAATTCGGTGGCGACCGGAATTAAGTGTGAACCCGCTGTCGGTGGAACGGGTGTCCTGGAGGAGCATTCGCATAACTTCCGCGTTAAGAGGGCGGGTGTTGCGAGCGCGGTCGGCGAGTGGGCTAAGCCTGTAGAAACCGACACCATCAACCTGGGAGGGTAGGGGACGCCCTCCCCCAAGGTAAAGGGGTACACCAGAAATGACCTATTCGAAATGTCAGCGTCCGACCGTCTACAATGTAAAGACAACCGCACGGGTGCTGCAGTGTTTGAGGCGTGGTCCCCTGCTATGGTCCCGCCTGCATAAGCCCCAGGGGATGGAGCAGTCTTGATGGGTGAAGCGTGTATCCAAAATCGGAAATCAGTGAGCGTTATTCATATACACGCAAAGACGACTTACCATCGATGCATCAGCATGGGCTGGTGAGTTGGCAAGATGTGGTCGTCGGTTCTCGATGGACCTACCATCGCGCTACAACACCCGCCCAACGGAATCAGCCTTGTATCGGTCCCAAGAGCGTTAATGTGAGGGACATACCTCCCTTGGAGGATCGCCAACTCCGCCACTCCCCATCGGTTCGCCTTCATCGAGGGTCGCTGGGCGTGTTCCGTTGGCGGGTCGGCGTCTAACCTACAACGCCCAATACCAAACTCCATCAGACTCTCGAGGTACCTGGAGGTGAAACACTCACCGACTCTACATCCCCGCCTAAGGTCATTATCCCGGGCGATTCCCGACCGCCGATGTCGCTTTCGCTATCACTGACATCTATCTAGCAACGACGGAACTCAGCGCTGCTGCATCACCGCGGTCATTGGAATGGGACTCACCAAAGCTGGTATCCCGCCAGTGCGGTTAAGGTTATCATGAGATCTGTTCTCCATTGCGTGGTGGTGGTTGCTGGGTAACCGATTGTGGACGGAATAAAGAGACGACGACATCGATTTGGTAAGCGTCAGGTTCACGGCCCGACGCTTAAGTACAGCGAAACCGTAACAGAGTCTCGATACGGTTTCTAAATAACCCAGAAAATGAAAACCATGTGTACTGACCGTGCTTGTACGACAGACCCTTCCTTTAGCGAATGGTTTCTAAAGTGGAGAGGTAGTTGAAACCACCCGACAAATGCGTACGCGCGGTTACCTGCTGACCAGACGGTTTCAACCAACGATGGAGAATAGAAACCAGCACAATAAGATTCGCATTTGAGTTAAATGGGACTACTACAGTGTAAAATTACGTCTCGTCACCCTCACCCTCGTCTTCGTCTTCGTCCTCGTCCTCGTCTTCGTCTTCGTCTTCGTCTTCGTCTTCGTCCTCGTCCTCGTCGTCGCCCTCGCCCTCGTCGTCGCCCTCGTCGTCTTCGCCCTCATCCTCGTCGTCGTCTTCGCCCTGGTTTTCGTCGTCGTCCTCCTCCTGCTCCCCGTCGTCCTCGTTTTCCTCGTTCTCCTCCTCATGCTCGTTCTCCTCTGCTTGAACACTTTCCATCTCCTCGTCGTTGTCCCCTTCAACGTTCATCAACGTGACCCCACCTTGGGGGAGACGCTGGGCTTGCTTCTTGACCTTGGGCTTCTTGACCTTGTAGTTGGGCGCGTTGGGAATGGGTACGGCAACCCCAAGTTTCGACGATCGAACGAGCTCGGCAGGTCCTTGGCCCATGAGGGCGAGAACCTTCTCCTTCTTCTTCAGCGGTCGGACAGCATTCTGGAGGTCGGTGAGGCTCATGAACATTTCCGAGTCCTCAGGTGGTACAGTGATGTTGAACTCGGACTTGAGGACGTCGTCCATAATGGTGAGGTCGGTAGCGTCGATCCTCATCTTCTTCCCACCGGCGAGAGTAACCTTGGAGAAGCGCATGCGTTCGAGCATGCACTTGTAACAGGCGCGCTATAGAAGTAGATCAACGGTAAGCTGTCGGTTGGAATCTCGGAGTCTGAATTGAAACCGCTCACCCTAAGAGCACTGATAAAGTCATTGCGCGCGCCCACTGGAATGCGCGTAAACGATTTCTGGACGTGCTTGCCCTTCTCCTTGACGCTGACGGTGTACGAGATGGCGAACGAGCGGACGAGGGTGTTGTAGAACCGAGCCATTTCGATAGTCTGACCGCGTACAAGGGAGTCGAGGTCGTGGGCTTCTTTGTAGTCCTGCACCTTGCGCTCGTTGAAGAGCTGTGACGATTCCGACGTCGCAATGTGCTTGTCCTTCCCAATTCCGTGCCATGGGGTCCAGTCCTTTCGATGGGTGTGGATAACCTCGAGGAGCTCGCTGTAGACCGCCCAAGTGAGGGCGTCAGTCTTGACCATCTCGGCAAGCTTGGGGAGGGCGACGAGGTTCTTCCAGAACGAGGTGGTGGCGGACATGGCACGCAAGTTGTGCGCTTGGTTGGATTTACCGGGAGTCCAAGCCATCCAAGGGCGCCCAGATCGGGTGAGGAGCGCCTCAACCCAACTGTAGTACTCGGGATAAACGTCGGGGAGTTTAGGTCGCTTGTCGTCGGGAATCGACTTGGGTGCGATGGGGTAGTAGGTACCGTTTCGAGCCTTGACCGAAGGAGCGAGCTCCGGATACTGGCCGACATGATTGGCCTCGTGCTCCGACTGGAGCGCAGCGTACTCCCTAAGCAGGAGGGGGACGTACTTGACCGCTTCCTGGACAGGGTTGGAGTACTCGACCACGGCGCTGAGCTTGCTCAACCCCACGCCCATAGGCGCCCCTTTACCAAGCCAACCTGACGCTGACGAACCCTTGGTCCAATCGACGAGAGCACTGTTACGATAGCGAAAAATGACCTTTCGGAACTGCCATGGTTTCTATTAGCGTCCTGAACTTGAAACCAACACCTGGAACGTTTACTTACCTGGGGTTAAGACAATCGAACGAATGATGGAGGTTAGGTTGGGTTTCAATATGAAGGCTGGAATAGAAACCAAACGGACTTACCCCGTCCAGAATCGCCTCGGAGCAGTCGTCCTCCATGAGATCGCCGGGGTTCGTGACTCCATCCTTGGGATGCGTTGCGATCCACCGAGCTACATCCTCGATGGTGTAGTCGTATTTGTTGTTGCCGTGGATCGGCGCAAGGAAACCAGGGTCGACGAGGGAAATGACCTAAAAACAGACTGGTTGTGAGTGACCCAGAGGCGGTAGAGTCGAGACCCTAGCGACTTACGACTTTGATACCCTCAGTACGGCTTCGAAGGTCCTCCACCAACTTCGAAACAAACTGAGGGACGTAGATGGGAAGCGCCCACTCTCCGTCCTCTTTCTTGGCGATCGACTCTTGAATCTTGCGCAGGCGCTCGGGCATGAGCAGGATAGCGTCATGGTGAGGGATCTTGAGCCCGGTTTCTTCGGCTTTCTTAGCCCTGTCGGCGTTCTCGACCAGCCAACCGTGAACAGTGTCGTAGAAGGCTGAGACAGCCTTCAGCCATCCCGCCGACTCTTCTTCCAGATGGACTCGTGGGGTCGCAAACGATACAAAGAAGGGCTTGAGCTTGTCCGCATAGGCCTTGTCGACGGCCTCCCAGAACGACGGGCCAAGCGAGTCGTAATCCATCTGGACGAAAGATGGATCGTACGAAGACCCTGCAGGAACCGCACTCGCTGGGGCTGCCAGCCAAGAGACTGGACGGAACATCGAGCGAATGAGGGGGGAGATGATCTGTTTGGGTTGGTTTCAGAGATTTGAGAAACAATGAACGAGAACGATCGACTTACCGATCCAATTAGCCCTCGGTAGTTTTCGAAAAATGCGTACGAGAGCTTGCATTGAGTTCCCTGGCTGTGCGCGTCCGTGGCAAATGTGTGGATGACGTTTTCGAGCGCGACAGGGGCGTCTGTCAACGATCGCAGGAGGGGCTCGCTTGGGAGGTAGCTGATCTGCTTCTTCCAGACCTTGTACTCGGCGGGGAGGGTGATAAGAACAGTGACCGTGTTCCTAAGAGTGTCAAAGGGTCGGTCGGGCGAGGAGGCGAAGTCTGGATTGGCGGCGAGCATGCGCAAGCCCTCGATACCGTGCTTCGCAGACCGAAGGAAGTCTAAAACGGGTTTCAACTTCAGGTATGAAATGGAAACCACTGCACTTACCCAAGTCGTAGATCTTGGCACACCATAATCCCGTCTCCTCAAGGAGCTTGGTGTCTTTGCGAATGGCGTCGAGAAGCCTCTGCTTCTCCTCTCCACTCTCGGTCTCTGCTGCTGCGGCTAGCAAGTCCGCCCAGGCCGCCCGCATTTCCTTCGTTAACGCCTCCGTCACTTCTCCTCGGTGGGCGCCGTTGACCAGGTGAGCAGCCGCAGGTTCGTTGGGATGCTTCTTGTTGTATTCCTCCACAGCGTCGCGGTTGATTCGGAGCTTTTTGACGTCCCAAGGGAATTTGGGTAGCTCTTCGGAGAACGTGCTGGCCTTGTCGATAACAGATGCGGGAAGGGCGAGAACGATGGCGTGCTCGAACGCCTGGGGGGCAAGGTTTGGTCCAGCAGCCATGAGTTCGTCGAAGACCGACTTGACGAGGGGTCGAGTGTTGTAGGTGCGGTACTCGAGGGGCAAGGTGGATACAAAGCGCAAGTTCGCGTCGTCGGACCCCTCGAACTGGTAGATACCTCGACGAAGGAACTTGCTGCGGTTGGCGGTGAACGTCTGCAGCTGCTGGTTGCTGAAGGCAGGCCCACCGCCCATGTAAACGAGGGCGTAGCCCAGGAAGCTCGAGGCCACAGTGACCTGGAGGTCCATGTAGTGCCCAGCGACCTCGCCTCGAGCTTCGAGCATGCGAGCCATGTCGTCATGGATGTTTGAACGACGTTCGAGCTACCCGTCTGGTTAGTATAGTCAGATCGTTTGTGGGCTATCCAATGCATACCCGTTGCTCGAGGGTCATACTTTGTTCCTGATGTTCATGGCTTGAGTCACATCCAACGATACGAGGAATGAGAAAGCCTCACCTCTTCGTCAACCGTCACAGTCTTTTTCTTGGTAGCCTTCTTACCCTTTTCAGAGCCCTGGATGCTTCCCCCTTTGGTACTGGTAGGCGCCTCGATGGTCTTTTCACGGTCAACGTCCATCTGCTCCCCTAACCCTTCATCACCCTAAAGTGAACGATAAGTAGGTGGTTTCAATCTCGAACACGGAATAGAAACCAACTGACCTGGCCCTCGCCGGTGTTTCCTGCATCGTCTCCCTTAGGTGGCGCGAACGTGTTGGTTTCAATTCTACCCAGGGATTGGAAACCAGTACTCACTTGCTCCGCAGTCTTGGCCTTCTTCGCCGCACGTGAAGTGCCCTGACGTGTGGCCCGGCGCTTGCCTCCAGAGGTCCCAACGATAACGATGTCGCTTAACCCACC